CGTGTTTCTGGTCGGACGCTTGCGAGGAGGCATCTTTTACTGCAAGTTTATAGAAACGATGATAACCGTAAGAATCAACTGTAAGTACAATGAGAGTGTTTCATGGACTAAATCGCCATAGTCCAACTGTTAGGTAGAAATATACTTATAGATTCGAGAAACACAAGAGTACAAACTTTCCCATAGATTAGATAACTGCCAATATTACTGGTATTACTGATGTAAAATGAGTTCAGAAAAGTTGACCTAACAGTAGGTCTTACATCACACCATAAGGAAAATGTTAGCAGCTTAGAAGTCTAGTTAGAGTGCTTTCAAGTTTTAGGAATGTTTACAGACAAGTGCTCTACCGAGCATAGAAAAGCAAAGGCTATTCCTTAATCAAAAGAGAAGGATGAGTTGACATCTTCTACTGGCGACGGGTATCCCTTGGGCGAACCCTAATATCAGCCAGTTGGCGTACAACTTCCTGAAGATGTCGCTCATGCGCCCTCTAACGCACTCGGAGTTCCATGACTTCAGCTCGGGATGCAGCTAGCTATTGCTGCAGAGCCTCATTGGTCCTCCTAGTCCTATCCATAGCTTCTTCGAGTTGGCGGATACGGACAGTGTTAAGGTTAGAGTTGGCGTCAATTTCTACAACTCTGCCGATGGCTGCATGACTTTGTTCGACGTTCCTAGCAATCCTACGGACCATGATGGGCAAGACTCGGTTAGCTGAACCTCCCTCGCTTATGTTGTAAAAGCTTCGATCTCCGTTGAAAGGTAAAGGCCGACCCTGTTCATCACTCCATCGATTCAAGGTTGTTGCCCACATGGGAGTAGGACCTTGAAATGCCGGACATGGGTTGGGGTTTGGAGCTACTGGGGGTAGGTTGTTGACTTCTGGTTCGGAGTCGGAGCCATCTGAAAAGCCTTCTGCGAGGTGATCATCCAAAGGGATTGGGTGACCATCTTCCGGCTCATCATCAAGCCATCCTCCAATGCCTTGGTTTGGATAGTACGGATCGCCAGGGAGATGAAAGCCAGCCATGCTATCTATGCGAGAATGGGGAAAGAGTAGTTAATAGACGTACTAATCTAAGATACTTATAAGATGATCGTTATTAGTTTATTCAATACTTGCATAGTGCATACCAATTACATGCAACTGAAACAGGATAGACCTTCGAATAAGTGACCGTAACTCTAAATCCACAACCAAACAAGGAACAGGAAGTAAAGCAAAGATCGCAGATTCTAAGTCTATAGCGCCTTAGTCACATGTAACCGCAGATTATCCACTTAGCAACTATTGTCCTACTAGTAACGACCTTTTTTTGTTCTCACATATGTAATTCATAGTAATGCAGAATACTCCTATAGTATTCTTGTTCTAATGTTCTTGTAGTAGTGTGGGTAAGTTTTTAGACTTGTTGCAACACCACAACCATTCTTAGGCACATACTAGTCACTCCTCGGGAAATGTAGTTGATCAGGCTACATCCCCCCAGATTTGACTATATGTCTCTAAGCCTAATCATGTTGTCCAACAATCTTAATACTTTTGTTCTGTTCTAGTATGATACTGACACTGGTATGAATAAATGTATATATATACTTAGTTAAATATTTTATTATTTAAAAGTATATATTCTTGGTCAGAGTGTTTTAATCCCGTTGTGTTTATAGTTCGTATATCTTTTATGGGTTGATATACTTGATTCACTATAAACAATGCTCTGATACCAATCTGTCACACCCCAAAACCGAGAACGGCGGAATACGTTCTAGGGTGGAGGACGTCATGTACAGTATCATAACAATGCATAATAGTAAAGACAAGCAACAACATCCATTGCATTAAGATAATAATTGTAATACAAGCGTGTTCTGTACAGTTTGTAAGACACCAAAAGTATAATCAAAATAAAAGATGAGTCTTGTATGTGCTCCATCTTCTCAAAGGCTTCATCTGTACCTGTCTACTGATAACCTGAGAATATATGTTATTTTGAAAGCGAGTATCAGCATAAAGCTGGTGAGTTCATAAGTATTTAGTGTCATTGCTTGTATAAAAATGTTTACAACCATGTAGTATAATAATTGATATCAATGTTTGAAAATAGTATGCTCCCTAGAAAATCCTATATTTTCCAGTAAAAGTAGTCTTCTACCAAGACCCGGTTGGTTGCATGTTTGATCCTTTGAAAATGTAAAAATTTTCCCAGTGAAACTATCAGTATGAAAATATTGTTTAGACTTCATTCATGTAAGGTATTTGCGAAAATAATGCTTTACCCCAGCAGTGTCACTGCCGGCTTAATGTAATGAAAATGCAGACTCCGGGTAGTATTAAATGTACAATACACCTCGAGGAATCCGTTTTGCCTTTAATTCTTAAAGTGTTAATTAAAGGTCTGAATGTGAACTCGTATGTAACCATGCTGATTGACGATCGAATAACTGATGACCCTCTGAGTCATGTGTAGTGATGTGACATTTTGTCACCCCTTGGCCTTTCGGCTGGGACTGTAGCTAGCAGTCGGGATGTGGGAGTGTCTGTCCCGTATAGATCTATACACACAATGCCCGCTCTCCCTCAAGGAGACTCTGGTTACACGGTGATACCACTGTGAAGTGTCGTATCGAGAAGTAGTATGTCACATTCTAATAATAGTATATTCTCTTGTGTATTGTATAATGTATTCTCTTGTATATTGTATAGAGTGTTCCTCTTGTATAGTATATAGTATTCTCTTTGTATAGTATTTAGCATGTATTGACTCATAACTGTACTGACCCTGGTAGGTATCATGGTAATAGTAGTAATGAGTAGTAATCCTTAAGTATACCTATTATATTTAAATAGTAATGTTGGTTGCATGCCTTTGTTACACAAAGGTATCGAACAGAAGTGAAGACTTTTATATCTAACACAAATATATATGATATATAACTAAGAATTCAACGACGGTCGGACAAATAACCGAATACCCTAAGTCCACAACCAAACGAGGAACAGGAAATAAGGTGAGCTATCAATCGTAAGTCCTTCAAGTCTTACTTATATAAATATATTAGTATAGATATGGTTTTTGAAGATAAAACAAGTTTAAAAGAGTTTGAAAGCGGTTTTAGCATTTAAAGAATTTGATAAAAGGTTTGAAAAACTTGAAAATCCAAAGTTTGATGGAAAACTGAAAGTAAAAGCAAATCTTGTAGTCTGTTCTAGCTATTAATCACATGTGCTTGATATAATAACTATAACCGTTCAACTTGTATTCCCCCCCCCCCAATAAAAGCGTTTAAAATCATTTAAAAGGTTGATTCAGGGGTATGAACTCACTTGTAGTGAGTGGAGTGGATGGAAGTTTCGGGTAGGATGCTAGGTGTCAAGTGAGGACTTGAACACACACGCGGATCCTATGTAACATGGAGTGATACATAAATGTATCTAATTAGTTATTTAATCACTAATTAAGCAAGTAAAGACACTCTAATGTATGAAAACACTTTGTTTCAAGTGCTAGGAGTGCTAAGGGTTGCATCTAAGGAGAGTATGGCCTCACCTTGGAGTTTACTCCTCAAATGGGAACCCTATATGTGTTTACGGTTGCTGGACCATTTCCCCCATGAGTTTACGGCCGTAAACTCATGGTAATGGTGCATTTGTGTGTTCCAAGGTCCTATATCTCAGAAGGAAGGGTTCTAAGTTCGAATCAAAGGCTTAGGAAGTGGTTAGGGCACAAAAGGACCCCTCATTGGAGTTTACGGTCCTTGGACCATCCTTGAGAGTTTACGGTCGTAAACACTTGGGTTTACGGTCGTAAGCCCATGCGTTTACGGCCGTAAACTCATGTATGCCTCAACCTTTTCGTGTTTTGGTGTTTCTAGCTCAAGCATGCAAGTTTCTAGCCCTTTATCGAAGCATTTGAAGGTGTTAGGGGCATCAAAACACCATTTCGGGGTGTTTACGGTTTTGGGAGATCCCCAAACCGTAAACACATATGTTCTTGGGGATTTTGATGATTTTACAAAGGATTAACAAGTATACTAAGTAAGTAACTAGATAGGAAGGGTATACTTACTTATATGAAGCTTGTAAGAGTGATTAGAGCCCAAAAACACTAGTGTGTGTTCTTGGTGTTCTTGGTGTTTTGAAGAACACTTGAAGATCTAAGTAAAAATCAAGAATCCATGGATGAAATGATGTATAACACTATATTAAGTGTTGTATGAACGAATCTAGGAAGGAAAAACTTACATTTTGGCGGATTTGAAGAAATGAACTTATGATACTTGAGAGAAAAAGCTTGGTGTTCTTGAGGTGGGAAGTGGAAAATGAGGAAAAGGTGTGTAAACTCATGCTATATGCATGAGTTCTTGGGAAAATGGTGTTTACGGCCCAAACACCCCTTGTTTGGCCGTAAACACCTAACTAAGGTGTTTATTGTTTTGTTTGCTACACATCACTAATAACGACACTTCCTTTTATTTAATCGTTTGACGAAAAATAAAATAAAACACCCAAACGAACATAAATCCGGCCAAAAATGTACTGAAATGTTTTTGAATATTATATGAAGTTTTTAACTGTAGAGATTATACAAATGAAAATTTCGGGTTGTCACAGTCGTGGCCTCTCATGACTTCTGAATCATAGTCAATCGTTGCTCACCACCACTTCCATATATGTTGTTGATCACCACCACCTCCTTGAACTGTCATCTCTGAAGAACCTTCAAAATTTCTAGGTAACATTCTTATACTCCAGATTTCATCATCTTCTTGCGATTTTCACAATTAAAACCATGATTGTTCCTTTGTTTTTCTAAATTCATCCATATTTATGTGTTTTGGGATTTGATTGCATCATTTTCTTTCAACAAATTTATTGACACTTGACAGTTGATAGTTTCTCAATTTGCTTCAAATCTTCATCTTCATCTTATACTTATTCTTGGCTTTCAGATATCCTAAAACATGTATGGGTCTTATCTGATCAAGACAATGACATCATGCTTTCATTGAATGAATTTTGTATTGCTCTCTTCCTCATGGAGAGACACAGGGAAGGCCACTCTCTTCCTAAGGCACCTCCATCTGGCATTCTGTTTGAGAGGACATCAGTGACAATAGTAGTGATACTCCTAGTGTTGAGGTGGGTTGACATTTTTTTTGTTTGTAAGCTAAGAGATCATGATTTATATTTTGTGTTAATAGTTTATTTCTCCGAAGTGCAGGCTAATGAATACTTTTCTTATCCATCAGGAGCAAAAGAAGAAGGTTTAGTGAAGGAAAGTGACAGGTGAAATAAGCAAGTGAGAGCTCCTTGTTTTTTTTTTATTTATTGAACATTAATGTACACCATTATCGGTATATGAAGTTCTTTTCATTTGTTGCATGTTAGTTCCCATCATTTTTTTTACCTTTTCTTGTTATGTATTTTGTAGCACCCCAACTTGTATGACATCTGTTAAGAGGAGAGGATCAGCAGGTGTGGTGGAAACCTTGATGCTTTTGAAATCACATGACAACATGCATGCTCCATTTACTCAGGTTGATCTGATTTTCACATGCTATCTTTCTTTTTTCTTTTTTTAATCTCCACAATGAATAAATTGACAGTTTTTGTTTATTTATTTAAATCATAGGATCCACCAATTATGACAGAAGACATGCATGAAGAAAGGCTCCATGCAGTTGAAGTCTTGGGCGATTCTTTTGTAAGTTGTCATATCACATGTAGGATATTATATAAAATTGTAGGGTTTTAAAGCACTCCATGGATAATGGCAATGGGCCCCCTTGATGAAGTGTAGGTTAAAAGCCCAAGACTTGTCTTTTCCCTATAAATAGTCATGTATTATTCATTATTAGGGTTAAGAGTGAGGCAAAATGTAGCCGCCACGTGAGGTTTCTTATGTAGTGTTAGATTCTTTAGTCTATGCTGAAAGTGTAATTTATTCCTCATGTTTTGAATAAATCGAGTGATCATTCGACATAATCTTCATATTTGTGTTTGTTCTTATTTTCCGCATCTTGTTCATCAAATCTCAATTAGGGTTTTAATCCCAACAAGTGGTATCAGAGCGGGTCTTTGAAGATCTATTGATTTTTAAAGTATCGGTTCTTGATTTGATGATTTTCTGCACAAGTTATTGAAGATTTTTGGTGTTTTGGCGGTTTGGAATCAAGGTTCTTGTTCGTTCTACTATTCATGAAGATCTATAATTTTCTTCTACTGTTCATCTGGATGGACATGGTGATGGATTTGATTGAAAATAGATTCTTGATCTGGAAACAATTTGAAGAAGATGACTTTCGTGTTTGTCAAGTATGATGAAGGGTTTCGCTATCGAGGTTAGATCTCAGTCGTAATGGTTGTGTGATTAACTCGCAATCGTTAATCAATTGAGACTGTTATGTATAGTCAAACCGGAAAAGTCAAAATCAATAATGAAATTAAATTGGTGCCGCTAATACGATCAGAACAATGAAAGAAAAGCGAATCTTGACCCCTTTTGCAAGTTGAATCTGTCTCGCTTTCGAATTACCTTCTGCTGGGAATCTTAACATTCTTCTGCAATCGGAAACGTTTCTGTGCTCAGAATATTGGGGTTAATCGGAAGCGCTTGTCACTCGGAACTTTCAGTATTCGAAATTGAAATCGGATTTGGAACTCAATCGGAACAATTTGAGCAGATGTTCTTGGTGGTCAATGCGAATAGTCAAAATTACAAATGGATTAACTACGAACAATCGGAGCTCGTCAGTCTGGGCCCACACTCCTTTTTCACGAACGTTCGTTGTCATGGATTCGCATCGGGTTTGTTATCAATTGATTAGGAGCGAATGCAGAGTGAACAATAAGCGAACCTATGAGTGGATTCGCCTTGGGGTAAATGCTAATGATCTTGGACCGAACCTGGAACAACGAACTTGGGTTCGCTTGTTAATGGTTGGAGCGAACGGAGGATGAACCGAAAGCGAACCTGTGCTCGGACCGAACATGGTTTCGGTTCAATGAACCTGGACCGAACTTGGTTTCGGTTGCTTGTACTCGGAGCGAACCTATTGGAGTCGATGTTTATATGTGCCAATTTCAAGGTTTCGCGTCTAGTTTGAGTCATCGTTGAAAGATCAACTGGAGTATGATACAGTGTTCGTTCAATCTCATCTAAATGGGGAAGAGGATGCTTTAATGTTTCATATTTCGTCCTTATAACTCCAGCGAATTGGCACTTTTGGTCCCTGTTGTTTTCACAGTTTGATATTTTTGGACCAATCCCAGAAATTGTTACAAATAAAGGGGTATATTGATGCAGAATTACCATTCCAGCCCCTGTCTTTCAGCAAGTGACAATTTCAGCCTATTTTTCGAAAAAGTTTACAATTTTAAGGGCTGGTGAACAGTTTTGAATTCTTTAACGCACATATTTTTTTTTCGTGAACAAAAAAAAATAAAGATTCCATCAAGTCTTGGCGGTTCGGAAAGTTGTTTTTCGCAATAACGTCAAATTTTCACGACTTTTTCGGATTTTATACTTCATTGTGTATATCATTTTGTCGCGGGGGAGCTTAGTAAATTTTTATCCATTCAAGATCATTCTCATGACCATTTGAAGGCTTTATAATCACATTTTTGATTATAAATCGGGGGAGAATTTGGTATGGCCATTCGAAATTGGATTTGTGACTTTTCAAAGTTGAAGATTTTTGATAAAGCTTGTGGTAGAATTATGAAGGTAGCTTTTACAGTGGAAGTTCTTCATCGAGCTCTGCTAAGCTTTTACAGAGAAGTATCCTTTACAGTGGAAGTTCTTTATTGAGCTCTGCTAAGGACTTGTTATATCTCCGACTTCTAGTATTTTCTCGATCAAGTGGCGTTACGAATCTTAAAATTTGGGTTGTTACATGATAATTTTTGGTGGCTTATATCATTGGCTTATTTGAAGATCATTGTGACTTGGAGGGGGAGCTCTTCAAAGACAAGAAGTGATTTGGTTTCTTTGTTCTGAAATGGGTTTTTATGGCGGGTTTGGTTTTCATGAAGATTTTTTTGGGATTACATTCGAAAATGAAGTTTAAAGACATTACTTCAGTGCTTGGTTTATATATCCTAGAGCCCGTGTTTGAAGACTATTGAAGAATCAAGATTCGTGGATTGCTTCATATATTCCTCGTTGCAGATCTTTTTTTTTGCTAGATGCTTGTTTTGGAAGTTAAAGCATTGTCATCCATTCCATACTTTGAGGGGGAGATTGTAGGGTTTCAAAGCACTCTATGGATAATGGCAATGGGCCCCCTTGATGAAGTGTAGGTTAAAAGCCCAAGACTTGTCTTTTCCCTATAAATAGTCATGTATTATTCATTATTAGGGTTAAGAGTGAGGCAAAATGTAGCCGCCACGTGAGGTTTCTTATGTAGTGTTAGATTCTTTAGTCTATGCTGAAAGTGTAATTTATTCCTCATGTTTTGAATAAATCGAGTGATCATTCGACATAATCTTCATATTTGTGTTTGTTCTTATTTTCCGCATCTTGTTCATCAAATCTCAATTAGGGTTTTAATCCCAACAAAAATAAATTTCTTTGCTGAAAATTATGTATAATTTTTGTCAGAGCTTCTTTGGGCAGTTGGAGAAGGACATCTTATCTTCAGGTACTACATAAAATGGTGTTTTTATCTCTGATGATTCCCCTAACTTTTTGTTGTTTGATGATTTTATGGACCCAAATAGAGAAGGAGAAAAGGTACATTTTTTATTTTTCCACATTTACCCTCCATGATCAATGAAACTAACATCATCCAATATCTATACAGATACTTCATTATCTGGAAACAGTAAGACAAAATCAATTGGAGCAAATGGTGTGTACTGCTTTCAGAGCTGCAGCTGACACTCTTAACCAGACTAGAGTTGGTGGGTTAAAGAACATGACAATAAAAATCGACCAATTATACTTTACCATTGCTTCTGCATTGAAGCCTTTGCAAGGTATGTGTAATGTCTCATTTACAATTTTTAGACACAAGGGTAAAATAGTCATTTTTTTAATCTGAATTATTGCATTAGCAGCGAACAAGCTACCGGGTGATATGGAAATATTCCAAGATGTAAAACGGCTTTGTGTTGTATTCGAACACGTGGAGAAGCTGCTAACACTTGGCAGTGGCAGTGGGAATCAATGGAGTCACCAACAGGGGAAGATTGTGACTCATAGGATTCTTCTAAGTGACAAAATTCAATGTTAGTAGGATAAATGAATTAAATGCAAGATTTTAAAGGTGGCATTCTGTAATCTCTCTAGGTTTAAGAGCCTTTGACAGCAAGCTGTAATTGGCAGCTAGAAAGCAAAGTTGTTGCATATTAATTAATAGTTAATATCATCTAGGTATGATGCAAGTATCCTGTCCATATGGTTGTTTGTATGTCCCTTCACACTCTCTGTAGTTGCTTTATGTTCTCCTGAACTTTTTATTCTTCTTAATTTTTTTCACAGGGTGATCATAATTCTCTAGGAATAATACCTTTGGCAATAAAGGACGTTTTCAGCATTATACAGGATGTAAGTGTTTTGTAAGAACTTCCTCTTACATGTATGTGTGTACTTGCTTGCATTACATAATACATATATGATATATGTATGAAATATGCACACGTATAACACACATACATACATGTATGTGTGTACATGCTTACATATATGCCTAAAAAAATACACACACACACACATTCTGTGTGCAGTTTTGGTGTGTTTGCTTTATTATTTATATCATGATTCTTGTTTATGAATAATGAACACCTTGCATTTACTTTTCAGACGCCAGGAAGGGAGTTCTTATTTCCTTTGTCCTACATTGAGATCTATAATGAGGTTACTTCTCTCGTGGCCAATAATATCTGTAGTTTCTTTATTTTTTATTTGAGGATCATAAATGAACTTTATAAGACACATTCTTTGATTCACTATGCTCTGCTTACATGCTTATGCTTTCTCATGTCTTTCTTCATTTTGAAAAGTTTTCATTAATGCCATGTTCGTCAACTCGCTATGGTTATGATCCCTACCATAAATGATACGGCGAGGGTCCTACACACCGGATAAAATTCTATTATTCTAATTTTAACTCTAGTTTATAATTTGATAATTGGTATGTATATTTCAGGATCATACTCCCTCCGTTGACCAACCGTTGACTGAGTCAAAAGGAGTATGTAAATGTTTGCTTAAATTTTATACAATGATAGGGTTTTTCATGTTCAATGCTTGCATATTCCTTCTCATGATCGAACACCATTTGAAGGTTATCATCTTCTCTTGTATTTATATTATGTTAAAACTTCAAGGAACCAAATGAGAGAGTAAATGACCATTTTACCCTTATATTTTCATGAAGGGTTGATTAAAATTGTGGAAGAAAGTGTAAAGATTGAACAAAATTTGTCCCCAAATAAGCCGATTTATTTGTCCCCAAAGTTAAATCAGATCTTCTGTTTCAAATAATAATTATCTTTTCCCTTTGATAGTTTAATGTTAGTTTGGACTTTATTGAAACTGTTCAGATAACTGTTGAGAAGGATGTTTTGGAACAAAGCAATAGCCAGTATGAGCTTCAAGGCGAATACGTGTTTCCCGGGTCACTAGCTGGAAAAGAAACAGGAAAAGGGAACTTACTAAGAAGAGCAATGGCTGGTTATTTAGGGAGTGTGATATCTTCTATGGGTCGCTGGAGAATGAGGCTTGAGGTTCCACGTGCTGAAATTGCTGAGATGCTTCCACTTGCTAGGCTTGACTTTCTTCCTAACATATTTTTTAGTTTGCACCTATGGTGGCAAGATGGTGCAATTGACTGGATTCCACTTTATTAACCTACCATTTTTTCTGTTATTGATTGTCATTGCTCATAAAATTGATTTATCTTTTTTATTTTTTTTATTTTCAATATTCTATTAAAAAGTGGCATTGATTTTTTCATATCATGCATATAGATTTTGAGGCCAGAATTGGAGCAGATTAAGCAGGAGATGCAAGATAGGGTATGCCCATCAAACTTCTTCCTTAATGGTGTATAGTTAAAAAAACACAAATACTGACCCCTTAAAACATCATGTTTATGCTTCGTGTGCTCCCAGAATAGTTGTTGATTAATTATTTACTAATCAAATTAGACACATTTCAACATTTAAGAAGGTGAAACTTGTTTACTTATTTCAAGTTATTATTAAAATCCTCTTTTCAGGGCATGAGTCCATCAGCTGTAGCTAAAGGTCAGGAAAAAATGAAGAAAGTATTCAAGGAGTAAGTAGTTGTCTATGTTCCTTATTGTGTGATATGTATAAGTTGTGCATGACATGATATTAGTTGTTACTTACATGATTATAGACAATGCTTATAATAATAAATTTAATATTTTTGTAGGCACGGTGTTAGTACATTTACTCCATTGAAGGGGCTTTTCATCCAAGGCCCCGTCTTTGTCAGCTTTTTTCTTGCTGTAAGTTAAAAATGTCATACTCCATGAATCTTGGTTTGCATTATATCCATTAATAATGTGGAAGATGACACATGTTTTATTTTTGTTGGACAATTTGGTTTTGCAGATTCAGAACATGGTGGAAAAGGTCCCATCTTTCCAAAATGGTAGCATCTCTTGGTTCATTGACCTTACGACTGTTGATACTTTCTACATTCTTCCTTGTTTGACTGCATTTTCATTTTGGATAACCATACAGGTAAACATTTAATCCCTTCCTTTGAACTACAAATTACAAAACTTAATAACTTCCATTTTGCTTGATTGTAGGCATGCTTAATGACTGAATCATGTTAATAACTTCCATTTTGCTTAATTGTGTGCAGTTGAATAAGGGACAAAAAATGTTACTGACCTCAAATAAGGAATAAAACCAAAGATTTTTGGCATAAAAAGATTAGAAAAAATCTTAAACATCATGAATGACATGCTGACCTGCAGGTAATATTTACCATTTGTATGGGGGTATTCTTATCATTGTGATTGTCATTGTTGATATCAGGTAATTCATATTGTAGTGTATTTATTCCAAATCCCACATTATTTGGATGGAGAAAAGGGTAATTTTGTATTTTATAACTAACATTCCATGTTTGATTCTTCTAATAATTATATTAGCATATTAATTTTTTGACTTTTATTTGATCAGGTCACAAGAATTATCGGAGCAGGGTTTAATTAGTCTTAAAGAATTATGAAAGGCAAGATGCAACTCTACTTAGTTGGAATTTGATGTTTATCATCTTTGTGTACATCTTTTTAGCTTGTATAGCATTACATTGCAGAAGGTGTCCCTTAATAGCAATGTAGTATTAGGTTATATAGTTAAGGAAAAGCTCTTAATAACAATGTACAATTAGATCTCCTTAATATCAATGTATTACAATTGTTTGACATGATGTTATTGGATGAAATTGATTGTTTTGGTATATATTTGTTTACATATTTTTGTATTATGCGTAAATGAGTATCGTAAAGACGCGTCGTAAATGCATATTGTAAATGGTTACTGAAGTTTATGACACTCAAACGTGTGTCATCTTCATTTATTACAGGGGCTTCCTTGATACGCATTGCGTGTCATAAACACGCGCATTGTAAGGTTACGACACGCAAATGCGTGTCGTCTTTCTTTATGACAGGGCCTTCCTTGATACGCATTGCGTATCATAACTGCGCGTCGTAAATGCGTGTCATAAATGTGCGTCGTAAATGCGCGTCGTAAATAGACGACGCGCAAAAACGTGTCGTCTCTCGTTATGACAGGGCCTTCCTTGACACGCATTTGCGCGTCGTCTGAGCGTTTTACGACACGAATTGCGCGTCGTAAAAGGCTGTTTTTCTAGTAGTGTCATCACCTAATTATCATCACCTTTCTATCATCACCTATCTCTCATCACCCGTCGCTACCCAATATATATTTATAAGTATAAAAATATGTATACAGTTTAAATCATATAAACATGTATAAATCGTTCATCTAGCATAGATATCAGGAACACAGATAATATGCACACATAGCACATAATTTATATTAAATACTTCATATATATGTGTAAGATGAAAGTAACTATGCACTCACATTTGTAGCGTGCATTGATAGAATCTAACTAGAAACGGTCAGAAGTTCGTCGTTGTCAGGCTCGGGAAGGGAAATGGCCTTCGGAAACGAGAGAGAGGAAAGAAGGTTTGGTGTAAGGAATGAAAGGGCTGAACTTGCTATTTATATGTTGTTCTGGGCCCATTCACGTCGTGAACATGATAGGTTCACGTCGTGAACTTCCATGAGTCATCCCGTAGCTTTAACACGTGTTTTCTAGCCCCGATTAGTGTCCCTGACACGTTTCACGTCATGAACATCATGTTCACGTCGTGACTTAAGGCGGCTAGGGTTTCTGCCACGTGTCATGCCCTTAGACAGTTGCATCTTCGGAAGGTCATAACTTTTGCATACGAGCTCCGTTTTCGACGTTCTTTATATCCACGCGTAGGTGGAGACGTAATCTACAACTTTATTTTAGTTCACAAAGGCTAAAAAGTATTTTATCATAAACTCACTTTTTATGATTCCTGGTGTCGTGCCGGTTTTGTCGCGAAACTTCGACAGGTCGTAACTTCTTCGTTATAACTCGGATTTCAGCGTTCTTTATATGTACGGAAACCTTATGAAATATACTACAACTTAGTTGAGATTATTTATTCTAAATAATCCTCTATCAAAAAAGTCATTTTTGACGCTTATCGTCTTTAAATTGACTAGTCCGAATCTGCAGGCGTTACACTAGACTTGGGGGTACCCTAAGTATAAAATGACAACGGTTTAACATTAGAATTAGCCCTTAATGGTAAACGAGAATGGAATGTGGAAAGATGTCTTTTGAAATGAAATGATTAGATAAGAAGTTATATTCATGATGTGTACGAAAAGAGTTTTTCCTTGAAAATGCTTATAAATGTTTTATGGCCTAAAACCCACGTAGCTCACAAGAAACTTTGTCTTACATATTCATTTTATGCCTTGTATCTCAGGTAATACAATGTTAGTAACACCTAGGAGATTGTTCTAAAACTATTTATTTAAACTCTGATGTTTTGTTAAATGTTTCTTTTGTTAAACCTTGTTTTTTTGGATTAAACCATAGATTTAAATTTATTCGTAAAAAAATATGGGGTGTTACAGTTCGTATCAGAGCCATATTTTAAGAGAATTAGGATTTGATCATTCCATTCCTAGACTTAGACTTTAGTTATAGAAAATGTGAACAAGACATAGGATTGCAATGCTTCAAGTTAGATGGACTTGTAGGTTACTACATTTTGGTGGTTTAAACCAATGGAGAAAACCTTCTAAATAGTGAAATCAAGCTTGATTATGTATGATGTGAGTATAATAGTATCGGGCACATACTATTCTACACACATGATACATACTCGAACTTGGTGGAACTATGAATGGGGCTTGTGAAATATGGGATAAACCTTTGCTATGAATGTTGTTAGAAATTGCATGTCTTAGGAAACACCATGCTACTGTTTGAAATTTACTAATATGGATATGTGAATAATTTTGTATACTAAAGTGTTGAAGTATTATAGCGTGATGACGCGAAAATGGAGTCAAACATCTCGTAAAGAAGGACGAGGACAAACCCCAAATCAAGGGACTCGTGTAAATAGGCCACTAAGAGGGGTCAACCAAGGCAACAATGATGGTGAGCTCAATTCCCCTCTGGTCAATCTTGAGGCAATCCAAAAAGCTTCTATATGACCACCAAGAACAAAGATGAATTGAAATGAGACAATTGATTGAATAACGAATGAGGGATTCATCAAGAACTTATCGGAATCTCGGGATCAAGGTGACACCCCCGAGTGTGTTGCCCAATCTGAGTCATCTACTCATGGAACTCCTCCACCTCCCACACCCAACCTCGGGTGATTGCTCTAAAAGCACCACAAGGTTGAAAAAAAGGGGTGAGGGAACCTGGCATCAAAGACTTTATGATGTGTTGCCTTATGGAGTTCAAAGGTGACAAGGACCCAAAGTTAGTGATGAAGTGGATTGCCGAAATGGAACATGTATTCTACACATTCAAGTGTGAAGATGGATTGAAAGTTGGATTTTCTAGACACATGCTCAAAGATGATGCTCTCGTATGGTGGAACAACTTTCTTGATGCGATTGGAATCGAAAGTATTACATCCCTCACTTGGGGACGAGTTTGTGAGGCGCATAAAAAGCCAAATTTAGCTCCCCGAAACGCCAAGATAAGTTGGTGAATGAGTTCTTTTCTATTCAAAAGGGTAATATGGCAATTAAAGAGTACACTAAGAGGTTCACCGATATGCTTCCCTTCCTTGGGAATACTCTACCCAACGAAGATGGACGAGTGAATCGCTACCTTAATGGGCTTCCAGGTGACTATTCCTTGGAAGTGGGAAAGGCCACGACACTTGATGAAGCGATTGAGGCAGACTCTAGAGTGGAAGACATGATAGTCAAGAAAACAAGTGATAGGCAAGTGATTGGTGAAAAGAGGAAATTCCATGGACATTCAGGATCACATAAGAGGAGTCACTCCAAATCTAGCTACTTCAAGAAGGAAGAAGGGCATGAATGTAAGAAGTGTGGAAGTCATCATGCTGGGGAATGTATGATGGGGTCATCTGATTGCTACAAGTGTGGTCAATACGGTCACAAGGTGCGATATTTCAAGACTAAGGTTACAAGAGATGTAAAGTGTTTCTCTTGTCATGAGAAAGGGCATTATAGTAGGGAGTGACCAAAGAAAAAAAGTGAAACCATGGGATCAACGACTAAGAAGGAGGCAAATACGGGTCCGGTAGTTGGTAGAGGATACTCAATGAGTGAAGAAGATACAAAGGCAACCAAAGATGTGGTAGTAGGTACACTACTTTTCAACTCTAATCTTGCACACATATTATTTGATTCAGTTGCTAGCTACTCTTAGTATATCATGATTTTTGTCTTAAACTAATTGGTCCCCTAACCACATTGTCACGATCTTATAGCATCGAAATAGTCGATGGTACCCATACCTTGGTGGGCCACATGTACCCTGATTGTTCTCTGGAAATAAATGGTCGGTTCTTTTCTCTCGATTGAAATTAAAGGATTTGATGTGATTATGGGAATGGATTGGATGGGAGCTAATAATACAAAAATATTATATGGAAAGATAATGGTTTCCATCAAGAACGCCAATGGAGAAAACTTCTATGTGTGTGGAAACCCATACAACAAATTCACTTGTGTGATATCAGCCTTCTAAGGCTGGGTGTAAACCACGTTGTTCGTGCACCCTATCGTTTAGCTCTGAAGGAAATGAAGGAACTTATGTCTCAACTTCAAGAATTACTTGTCAAAGGATTTATATGTCCTAGTTTGTCTCCTTGGGGTGCTCCTGTGTTATTTGTTAAGAAGAAAGATGGGTCAATGTGTATGTACATTGACTACATGGAACTCAACAAGGTCACAATCAAGAATCATTACCCCTTACCTCGCATTGATGCTATGTTTGAAACCATTCACTCGGTCAAAGTGGAATTCCACTCAGAACAGATGGGTTTGGCTGTTTGAAAATTTAAAAATTTCTAACTTGAGTTTGGCTTATCCCAAGAACATCATAGTGCGGAAAATCATGGTGTGATGCGCTACAGTCATGCCAACTCCTTTCCCTTCGAAGAAGAAGTACCTGAAACCAAAACTGAAAACCGTAAGCACAAAGCTTAGTGAGTTACCCCATCATACCACATACCAAATAATCACATGACGCCTAGCATATCTGGGTGCTGGCCTCCCCTTCGGTCTTTTTCAACCGGTAACTGCCTAGCATATCTGGGTGCTGGCCTCCCCTTCGGTCTCTTTCAACCGGTAACTGCCTAGCATATTTGGGTGTTGGCCTACCCCTTCGGTCTCTTTCAACCAGTAATCGGGGACTATTTCACCCCTACCACTACCACATAATACCCTAACATATACATATAAATCATATACTGCCTAGCATATCTGGGTGCTAGCCTCCCCTTCGGTCTCTTTCAACCGGTAACCGGAGACTATTTTACCCCTACCACTATTACATAATAACATAACATACTAGCACATAAAGCATAATAAATAGTGGCATACCAGACAATTATCACAAAGACAATCATCT